AAAAGAACTAAATAAAGCATGGGCAATGGTGGAGCACTGTGCTCTCTGAAAGAACTCTTAACCAGAACTAGATGAACAACAGCAGGCTGTGGGGCAACAACTTTATGTTCTTGGAGAAGGAATGATTAGGAAAAGGACAGCGGGAATATTTGCACAATTTGAAGATCATAATCAATGTCACTTATTGTTCTTGTAGAAAATGTTGGATTGGTATATATTCTGCCATGTATAGTCTCAAAAACAAAAAAGAAAATAGTTTTCTTTAAATTAACAATCCAGAGAAGAGACACAATTGATCACAAGCACATGGAAATGATGCTCAATGTCATTTAGTCATTGCTGTGTGGTGTTGAGTCGGAACCGACCAACAGCTGGCCGCCCTCCCTCCTCCTGTAGGTTTTCAGAGGCAGTAAATCACACGGGAGGAGACTACCCATCCTTCTCCTGCGGAGCAGCTAGTGAATTCGAACCACGTGCCTTTGGAATTGCAGGGCATCTTCTTACCACTAGGCCACCAAAGCCCCCTCATTAGTCATCAAGGAAATGCAAATCAGAACCGCGACGAGATACCGCTTCATCCCCAAGGAATAGTTAGATTTAAAAAAAAAATAAAATAAAAAAAAAGCAGCAGTAAAAGCTGTGTCAGCAAAACCGTGGCCAAACTGGAACCCTCATATATTCCAAAATGTTTCAGCCACTTTAGAAAGTATGGTGGGTCCTTAAAATATTCAGATGTCCCAGAAAGTCTACTCTTAAGGATATGCCCTAAATGAGCCTTGGCGGCACAATGTTTTGGGCTGCTAACTGTCGGATCAGCAGTTTCAATTTGCTAGCTACTCCTCAGAGAAAAGAGAGACAGACCTCTGCAAAGACAGCCTCAAACATCCGAAGGACGGGCAGCCAATGAGGTGGAGCCGACTTGACAGTAGTGAGTTTGGGTGTGAGTATGTGTTCAAAGGAACTGAAAATAGGTACTCAACGTTGTTGTTGTTAGGTGCCATCGAGTTGAGTATGACTCATAGCGACCCTATGAACAGAAGATCTGAACCCAGTCCTGTCCTGCGCCATCCTCACACTTCCAACACAAGAGCCCACTGCAGCCATCACTGTGTCAATCCACCTGGTTGAGGGTCTTCCTCTCCTTCGCTGACCCTCCATCCGTCCCGACATCATGTCCCTCTCCAAGGAATAACACCTCCTAGCAATATGTCCAAATCATTCTTGCCTCCAAAGAGCTCTCCAGCTGCACTCTCTCTAAGACATATCTGTTTTTTCTCTTCGTGGTCCATGGGATTTCAGTGCTCTTCTCCAACACCACAGCCCAAAGGTATCAATTCTTTTTCTGTCATCCTTATTCACTGTCCAAGTCTTGGATGCATAGTTAGTAATAGGAAAGATGATGGCCTGAATCAGATGCACCTTAGTCCTCAAAATGACATCACTACTCCTCAATAATTTGGAAAGGTCCCTAACAGCAGATTTTCCCAGTGCAATTTGTCTCATTTCTTAACTGCTTGTACCAAGGGTGTTAATTGTGGATCCAAGCAAGATGAAGTTGTTGACAGTTTCAATCGCCTCCCCATCCATCATGATACTGTCTATTGGTCCAATGGTAACAATTTTTGTTTTCTTGATATTAAGACACAATGTATACTGAAGGCTGCATTTAATGACAATTAAATGATTTCATAGTAATTGGGTGACTAGAATGCAAAAGTAGGAAACAACAAAGAAGGAACAGTAGTTGGAAAATATGGGCTTAGTGGTAGAAATGAGGCTGGAAATAGAATGATTGAATTTTGTATTTATAGTGATTTGTTCATTGCAAATACTTTATCTAATAGACACAAAAGGCAACTTTACACATGGATTTCACCCAGTGGGCCGCGTAGGAATCAGACTGACTACATTTGTGGAAGAAATCATTGCAGAAGCTCAATATCAGCAGTCAAAACTAGGCCCAGGGCAGACTGTGGGTCAGATCATCAATTACTCATATACAAGTTCAAATTGAGGCAAAAAAGTTAAAATAAGTCCACAGGAACTAAAATATGATATTGAATCAATTCCATCAGAATTTCATGATCATCTTTTTTATTATAAATTTTTTATTAATTTTAATGAACATTTACATGATCATCCTAAGAATAGGTTTGAGGCATTGAGCACCAAAGATAGAAGACCAGATAAGTTGTGGGATGATATCAAAGAAATCGTTCATGAAGAAAGCAAAAACAGAGGAGAAAGAGAAAACCGAAATGGATGTCAGAAGAGACTCAAAGTACATGTACAAAAATATTTGCAGCAGCACTGTTCACGAAAGTGAAAACATAAATCCCAGCCACCGCTGGGAAAAATTCCCTGGCCATCAAGCAAAGTAGCTAGCGTTGTGGTTTCCCAAGATACCATGAAGTCGTGCTAATACTGGTCTATCAGGGGTGCAACAGCGTGATGACAAAACTTGAACTATTATGAAAATTGCCCAACTGTGGCACAGAGACAGGGAGAGAGTACACACAGTTAGGAAAATGGCACCACACACTTGCTAGAAGCAGCACTGCCATAAAACTTCAATTTGTAAAGCATAAACCTCCCTGTCTGCAAAGTACAATAAAACAAGGTGGTGGGGTTTAGTGCCTCTAAGTCAGTGGTGGCTGGGAGCTCAAGGAATGGGGAAATGGGGAGTGATTGCTAGTAATTATTTTCAATAGTGAGTTACACACCCTGCAAGCCCATCCAGACTCCTGCCGGACCAGGAGGACAGAGCAGACACGCCCCTGGGGTTTCCAAGGCTGTAAATCTTTACAGAAGTAGACTGCCAAGTCTTTCTCCCATGGAGCTGCTGGGGAGATTTGAACCTTCAGGCCAGCAAGCAACCTGGTGCTTCAGCTCTTGCTGCTCCTGCTAATGAGCACTGGGCCTTTTTGACATGATTGCTATTGTTGTTAGATGATGTCTAGTCCGCTCTCTGGTGCAAGAGAAATGCTTTAAAATGGTGATGTGTTCACATTGACTGAACTTGGCCAAACTGCTGAAAAACGGAGAGAGAAAGAAAGAGCTAACGCCATGAGAGGGAGTGTCTCATAGGAGTACAACCTTGGGGGCAGAAGGTATGACCCCTAGTCCAGACCCTGGAGGTCTCACACTTGCCTTGACCTGCCCCAGCTTCTCCTGGTCAGCCCCACACTCTTTGAGATCTGGTCTGGCACTCTCCTGACCAGGTAATCTCCTGTCAATTTCCAGTTATTACCAGGCCTATAGGGGAGCTCTGGGCTTAAAGGTAAGAAGCTGCAATGTCATTCCCAAAGCACACAGTTCTAATCTACCAGAGCTCTGTGCGAGAAGAATGAGTGATCTCCTCCAGTGTGATTTACTGCGTCTGAAAACCCTCTCAAGGGTCAGCTATTGGGTCAGTCCTGACTCAAGTGCACACGACAAAACATCAGGCATATGGATAGGCCAAGGTTCAGAGCTGCTGTTCATAGGGTCGCCAGGAATCACACAATAACAACAGCAGGCTTATGAGGAAGTTGTACTGCTAATCTGCTAACCCATAATAAGCTGAACCTTTCTGGCAGTTTGAATCTACCGACAGCCCTAAGGGACAACAATGACTCATCTTCCATGTGATTTACAGCCTTCAAAAAAGCTGCTAGAGGGTTAGCTATGAGTCAGTTTTGACTCGTAGCAATGAATTTGAGGTTTTGACCATGCGGAAAGGAGAAGGGTCAGCAAAGGACAGGAAGACCCTTAGCGAGATAGGTTGATATCGTGATGGCAGCTATAGGCTCAAGTGTGTCAGGGGTGACAAGGATGGCAATGGATAGGACAGGGTTCAGATCTGTTATACGTGGGGTTGTTATAAGTCATACGTAACTGGACGGCACCTACCAACAAAGGCAATGCTTCACAGTCACTCACTAGCATGACTACTGCTGTTCTGCCATTTGGCAGCTAAGAAAAGAGAGGCCCAGAGAAGTTTGATTACTTGTCTCGTGACATGTACACAGTGTGTCAGTTCAACTGGACTCTGGGCCCCAGGCACTAACCACTGTGCTACCTCACCCCGGCGTGCTCTAGCCACTGCCTGCATCTGCCCTCCTCAATTGCCTGTTGGCATCCAGTGTTAACACAGATCTAGAAAATTGTTCGTAGTCACCTAGGGATACATTTAGTGTTTGTCAAGTTGCAAATATTTCCTTTATTCAATTCTTTGTAAAGTTTAAAAATCCTCCATATTTTGAATCTGCCTCTAGCCTTTTGTCAAATCTGCTGCTTTATATGTTCCTATGAGTCTCTGGTGGTACAGATAGTATTTGGCTGCTAACTGAAAGTTTGAAGGTTTGAGTCCACCCAGGGGTACTTTAGAAAAAAGGCCTGGTGATTTATTTCTGAAAAAGAACATTGACTGAAAGCTACAGAGCACAGCGCTGCCGTGACACAAATTGTGTCACCATGATCAGTCACCTTGACAGCAACTAGTTTTCAGGAGCCTTGAACTCTGATGGTCTAGTGGGCATGGAGTTGTACTGCCAATACAAAGGTACATGGTTTGAATCCACTAGGTGCTCCACAAAAGAAAGATAGGCAGTCTTCTCCAGTGTGATTTACAGCCTCTGAAAACTCACTGGAGGGTCAGCTAGGACTCAATTCTGACTCCACAGCAATGAGTTGGTGGTGATGGTGGTGGTGGTGACTGGGTGGTGCAAACCAGCAGGGAGGTGGGAGGTCGGACTCTACCTAGAGGTAACTCAGAAGAAAGGTCTTGCGGTCTACTTTATAAAAATACACCACTGGAAACTTCATGGAGTGCAGCTCTGCCTCGACACATGTGGAGGTTGAACTCAATTTGATGGTAACTGGTTTTATCTGTTCCTAAGTGCAGGAGCCAGTGAACAGATTCTAATTAGCAGTGTTGTAAAATACTTTGGAATGCTTGCTGGAATCACTAAACCCTTCTGATGAAATAACATGAGGGCCCGGCTTTTCTGGGCGCATACCTCAGTCCAGCTGATCTCCGTATCACCAGATAGGCGTCGACTGCATAGCAAAACAGCCACCAGAAGCAGGCACTGTACAACAGCTGGATCCACATCTGCAAACGGGAAGAACCTGGCGTCAAGGATTCTGCAAACAGGCACCAGCTTCGCAGTGCAGCGGAGAAATGAGCGGGAGGAGCCCAGCTTCCGGTGACATCAGGCAGGCAGTTCTTGAAAGCACTGGGATGTTTGTGCACCCAGCTTTGAAACCAGAGGCTGGGAGCTAGGGACTGGAGGGCCGGGGGCTCTCACTGTGTGTGTCCCCCCATCCCCAAACGGACTGAGCCCTCATCTTCTACGCTTCTGTGCCCGTTAGAAATATCAGCTCCTAGGCATGCAGCTTAAACTACTGGCCAGGAGGCAGCTCTTTGAAGTAGTGGCACTTTCCCTCTGAGCTAAGAGTGTGGACAGGAAAGATCAAGAGAGGAGAAGGCAAGGGCTGCGAGGCCCAGAAGCAGCACGAGATCGCTAAGCCTGCTATTGTGGGCAGAGGCAGATGTTTTCTCGGGCTGCTGCGATTAGAAAGAGGGCAGGCAGTGCGGGGACAGGAGGGCAGAGGGCTTTGTGGAGGGCACTTTCAGATAGTCCATCACGCACCAAACAGGCTGGCTAAAGTATTTCCGTAAGTAAAATATCATCAGTGTAACAAGAACTTTCATTTTTATTTCAATCCAACTGGTTTCGAATGAGGCTCTACTTAAGGGTCTATAAGTATGTGGGCCCAAGGGTACATAGTAGGTAAACAAATGAGTTGCCATCCAGTCCACCTCTGAGTTGCAGCACTCACAAGTGTGTCAGAGTAAAGCTGTGTGCCATTCGGTTTTCTCACTGAGTTTTGGAAATAGATTGCCAGGCCTTTCTTCCAAGGCACATTTGGTGGACTCTAACCTTCAGCTTTTCAATTAGCAGTCAACTGCGTGAACCATTTGTACCACTGATTCAATTTCAAGTCCTGGAGGCCCTGAAGGTCAGTGGAGAACTGCTCCCATAGGGTTTCAGAGGCTATAATCTTTTTAGAGGAGCCTTGGTGGTTCTGTGGTTAGAGCACTAAGGAGCTAACTGCCATTTGAACCAACCAGCAGGTCCACAGGAGAAAGATGTGTCATTCTGCATCTGGAAAGATATGCAGGATGGAAGATGGCAAGTGCGAAGGCAGTTCCGCCCTATCCTGTGGGATGGGATCCCTTTGACTCCAAATCAAGGAGGCAGTGAGTTTCATCTGAACAGAAAAAGCCCACAACATCTTTCTCTGTGGAGCTGCAGGTAGATTTGAACAGCTGACCTTCCAGTTACCAGCTAGTCCTCAATCTGAAGTGCATGGAATGCCCTGGAGGGCTTGTTAAAACTCGGAAAGCAGACCTCACCACTTTCTGGTGAGGAGGTCTGTGGCGGCGAGAGTGGGGGAGGGGCTGGGAATTAGCATCTCTGACAAGCTCACAGGACATGCAGCTGAGGGCCAAGCTTGAGAACCTGGGCACAAGGGATGGAAGAAGGGGGAGGCACGTACCGCACTCCCCACGCAGAAAGCAGTAGGCCAAATGTCTGTTCCATTCACCTCAGAGATGCCGTCAACAAAATCTGGGAGGCCTAACCACACCGCAGAGCGGACCACAATACCTGCAGGAGAGTTAGAGGAGACAGAGAGGGTGGATTGAATTGTGCCCCCGACCCAGCCCAGGCCCAATACTGTTGTAAAACCTAACCCCCTACCTGTGTTCTTAATCCCATTTGGGAAGGGGCTTGCTTTCTTATGTTAAGGCCCTATTAGTACCTAAGTGTATCTTTCTGGAGATATAAAAATCTTTACATATATATGTTGTTGTGTTGTTGTGTACCGTCGAATCAGAACCGACCCATAGCTGATTCTCCAGTGGGTTTTCAGAGGCAGTTAATAACAGGGGAGGAGATTGCCCATTCTTCTCCCGCAGAGCAGCTGGTGGCCTCGAACTGCGTGCCTTCGGGATTGCCTTGCAGCTTCTTGCCACTACCAATCTTTGTATAATTTTTTGACATAAAAAAGAAATCTTTTTGGAGATATAAAAAGAGCTGATTAAAGAAGCAATCAGGCAAGTGGAGTAGACAGCAGAGTTGGCAGGGAAGTGGTGGGGGTGGGGGAGACGCCACGCGACAAGGATGTCACCAGGGAGCCAAGAAGCAAAATTCAGAAAGCCTCCTCCTAGAGCCTGCACCCTGAGTTCATGCTTCTAGCCTCCTAAACGGTGGGAAATCGGTCTCCTTTGGGCTACAGGCCGCCGAAGAAGCCCTGGTGGTAGTTAAGAGCTCGCTGCGGTTGGGCTGGGAGGCCATCCTGACTCTTAGGGGCTCTATAGAGGCCCCCAGGGTCTTTGAGTCTACAGAAGCCAACTGCTGCTTCTTCCTCCAGTGGAAAAGCGGCTCAGTTCTCACTGGCCAGCTTTCGGTTAGCAGTCAAACATGTAACCACTGCACCACCATGGCTCCTTGCTTAGCTACTCAGCGGTTGAAATGTCAAGAGTTCTATCCCAGCATTCACTCGGAAGGACGAAGATGCAGCAGCCAGCTTCCGGAACACCTTACAGAACACCTTACAGAATTCTGGGGCGGTCCTGCTCTGCCCTACAGGCCGCCAGAAGTTGGGACTGATTTACAGCAGCAGGCGTTTGGGTTTCGTTTGGGTTGGGGTTTGGTTTTCTTGTGGTTTAAAGCCATTTGCTGTGGTATTTCTGTTGAAGCAGGACTAGATAACTAAGATGAACTCCGAAGCTGGCTTGTTGCTTTGTTAAGCACAGATGGTAGATAGGTGGATCAGCAGATTGGCAGAAATACACATGCAATGTGGAGAGAGAGAGAGAAGATATTTTGTTATTCAGGGAAGACCTACCTATTATGCTGGCAAAGTAATTCCAGGCACTTCAATTTATTTTCAAACTACCTTTGGCCACAAAGCTTCTCTGTAATTTGCTTGTTTATTTGGTGTTAAGGAGTCAGTGTGAGTAACCATCTGTATTTCCAAGTTTTGTCTTTTATTTGCATATTGATTATTCTTCAAATGCACACGCACGTTCACACAAAAGGCTTTTTCTAAAAGTAAGAGGCTGAGGTTAAAAATATAGTTCTCTCACTTTCTAAGAAAATACATTTAAGATGGTCCCAAACTGAGTCCTCATAGTTCTTTTTTGCTACGCATTGTTTGGCAATTTTTGCTATTATCAGACCCCAAAATCAAACTCTTCCCCAAGACAGTGCACAGCCTCACGGTATGGATTACCGTTTTCTACAGACAAGGCAGTGGGTGTGCATAGCGATCATCACGCTGGCCCTGAATCCTGATGACCAGTGGGATGGAACGCTGCCTAGCCTGACACAGTCCCCACCGTGACTGTGGGTCAGGTAACATTCAGTTGAGACGGACTCAGCTAGCCACTGCTGAAGAAAAAGATGCTTTTCTTTGGTTCCCATGCTCTGCTGTAAAGTCCTGTCCAACGCCGAAACTCTGTTCCACAGACTAGCGCTGCCCCATAGGATTGCCAAGGCTGAGGCCAACTGCTTCATCTTTCTCCCTTGAATGGCTGGTGGATTCAAACTTTGGTCTTTCTGTTAGTAGCCCAGTGCTGTTGAAGTCAATGCTGCTAACGCCTGCATCACCAGCACAGAGCTCTGTCATTCTCACCTGACGTCATTCTCCCATGAGCTGGACAAGGGCCCTCCACCTTGTTTGGGTGCTGTCCAACCAGTTCTGACACATGGCTACCCCGCATGTCTCAGAGAGTGATCAAGACTGACCTTTCAGAAGTTGATCGCCAGGCCTTTCTTCAGAGGCACCTCTGGATGGGTTCAAAGAACCAGTCTTTGGTTTAGCAACCAAACACAGAACTGTTTGCACTCCTCTAGGACTCTTATGAGGAACTGCGCTGCAATCTCAAAGGCATGAGGCTCGAATCCACCAGCTGCTCCATGGGAGAACAAAGAGCAATCTTCCTGAGATTAACGTCTCTGAAAATCCGCTGGAGGGTCAGTTTTGGGTTGGCTCCTACTCCATGGCACACAACGACAAGACTGCTTTGAGGGAGACAAGCTTTCCTATTTCATGCTTCTCAGCATATCCCACCCAGTGGACCACACGCCCTCGCCCAGGCACCCTGTGGGTCCGCGCTCTCACCCAGGCACCCTGCGGATCCATGCCCTCACCAGGCACCCTGTGGACCTTCGCCCAGGCACCCTGCGGATCCGCGCCCTCACCCAGGCACCCTGCGGATCCACGCCCTCACCAGGCACCCTGTGCGCCCTCGCCCAGGCGCCCAGCGGGTCCGCGCCTTGGCCCAGGCTCCCAGCGGGTCCGCGCCCTCGCCCAGGCGCCCTGCGGATCCGCGCCCTCACCCAGGCACCCTGCGCGCCCTCGCCCAGGCGCCCTGCGGGTCCACGCCCTCGCCTAGGCACCCTGTGGGACCACACCCTTACCTAGGCAGCCGAGCAGGTCGCAGGCGGCCACCGCGCGCAGGATGCGGGCAGAGACCCGCGGGGCGGTGGGCTCGGGCTCCGGGGCGGCGGGGCGCGCAGGTTGGCGCACAGAGAGCAGCTGCAGGAGGCCCAGCCCCAGGCTCAGAGCGCCGCTGCCCAGGCAGAGCGCATGGAAGGCCCGCGGCTGGAAGGTCAGCATCAGCTGCGTGGCTGCGTCCCGCGTGGGGCAGCAGAAAGTGGCCAGGCGCGGGGAGGCCATGGGCCGCTGAGGGATGCGGCGCTGTGGCTCGGGTCTGCAGGGCCTCGCAGGGCGGCCTGGGTCATGTGCTGGCCGGTGGGGAAGGCATCATGTGCCACTGTGCCGCGTGGTCGGCCTCTCCAAGAACCCCCGCCCTCTGCCCCTGGCTACAAAGGGGGCTGGAGCCTGAAGAGGGGAGTGCTGCTTCATTCATCCAGGAGCAGGAAGAGCAGGAGGCTTGGGGGACGAGGGGCTTGGGGAGTCCTGCACAGAATGCAAGACAGAGAGGTCAGGGCCTCCTGCTTGCCACTGTAAACTAAGCTCGCCTTTGTAATTTCGTTCTTGGAGAGCTGCGGTCCCAAACCTGCCATCTCCTGTCCACTGGTCTCACTAACAGAACACGCTAGAGGTGACATGTCATTCCTACGCCAGTTGACATCCATAATTTCGATGCCTTTCAGGAATCAAAAATCTGTCCTGTGCAGAGAACTGGTGCTAAAATGTTTGGCATCCTGGAATGAATGGACTCATGGCGGGTGGGTGACTTCATGTGACTGTGGAAACTGCCCACAAGGTTTTCTAGGCTGTAATGTTTACAAAGTAAATAAGAAAGAGAAGAACCTTCCATAAGATGGATTGACATGGCAGCTGAAACAATTAGTTCAAATTTAGCAAGGGTTGTGGGAATGGCGCAGGAGCTGCCAGTGTGACTGAGCCCACGATTTTCCTGTTCAGATAACGAATGAACCGTTAGGCTAACTCGTAAAGAAGTGAGGGGGACGGGGTGAGTGCACATGCAAGCATACACATTTTGCGTTTGTTGTATTTTTACTGAACAGCAACAATACAGGGTTACGGTTTTTTGACATTCTAGTTTAGCTTTCACGAATAACTGCTTAAGGAAAAAAAAGTTGTGCAAAAAAAGATAACGCGAGTATTTTCCAACTGCTTTGTTTTTCCTGTAGAATTTTTTGCACATTAAAATCCTTGTTGGATTCAACAAAACACAGAAAGGTTTTGAAATTACTTCCGTGCTAATGATAACAACGAACATATTGTGTGAAGTTAAAAAGAAAAATAAAGTTAGTCAAGGTTGAGTATAAAAAAGTTCCGTCTAGATCATGGTTTTATCAAGTAAACCCTTCTTTTCAGAAGGAGGAGAATCCAAGGTCTATCACATTCATCATCATCAATACAGCTGCTGTTCTTAGCTGCCAGTGAGTCACTTCTGACTCCTGGTGGCCTCGTGTGTACAGAGTAGAACTGTGCTTCACAGGCTTTTTGAGGCCGTGGCTTTTCAGAGGAAGAGCGCCAGGCCTTTCTCCCACGGCACCTCTGGGTGGGTTCACGCTGACACCTTTTCACTTAGTTCAGCCACCTAGGTGACTCTTTAGACCCTCATTGGCCTCTTCATCCAGTAAATCATCTTTAAAGTGTTTTTTTGGGGGGTTTGCTTTTTTTTCACTCAACGAAAGCTAAGACTTTAACACTGTTTTCTTACTGAACACTTAAATGTGAATGTTGTTGGTGTTCTGTATCATTGAGTCAAAACTAACCTATAGCTCAGCTGGTTTTCAGAGGCAGTAAATTGCACGGGAGAAGGTTGTCCATCCTTCTCACGTGGAGCAGCTGGTGGATTTGAACAGCCCACCTCTGCACTGGCAGTGCAATTCCTTCCCAGTAAGCCACTTAAAGCTCCCTTAAATGTGAATACTTCAATGCAGTCCCATGCCAGCAGTGTCTTTGCATTTCTAATGCTTGCTTTACAATTTTAAGTCAAGTCCAGGTCTGGCTCAGCGCATGTTCCTTCTTGTTCTCCAGACTGCAGAGCTGAGCTTCCAGTTGTAACCACTCCCCCCATGGAAGGCAGAGGTAGAATAGATTCTCTGAGAGCCTGGCAGGGGGCAAAGCCAGACTTCCAAATAATACAGGTCTGAGGTGTCCATAAACGCAGCTTGGTCACACTGTAGCTGCCTTGATAGGAGTTGTTCTTGTTGTTGCTGCCACTGTTGATTGCCATTGAGTTGAACATGACTCATAGTGACTCCATGAACAAAATGTCTTTCTATAACTATCGTCGTTTCTCCAAGTTCATAGAGTATCCACAGGCATGTGGTTTAGGAAGTGGATGCCACTCCAGCTTCTAAACCTGTTTTACAGTTGGGAGCTCAGCCAAGCAATGTCCAGATTGGGAAACCATTATGGCATTTGACACCCCAATGGCACAAGGTTCAGCATCACAGCAAACCCAGATTATCTCAGTATAGCAAATTGACAAAGAGTGATGTACAAATTAGAAGGATGTTCCTCCAAAATATAATAACACTAGTCTCACTTAGCAGTGGTTATGGGAGTGTGTGTGGGAAAGCTAGCATTTTGAAAACCTGTAACAGCTAACCCAGAGGTGCCTCCAAAGAAAGACCTGGCAATTTACTTCTGAAAATTCAGCCATCAAATACAGTTCTACACTGACACATTTGGGTCATCGTGAGTCAGGATGGACTCTGGAAAATTCGTTTGGCTTGGGGTTTGTTTGTTTGTTTGTTTGTTTTTAATTTTCACTAATGCTCCAGGGTTTGGATAACTGATCTCATGCCACGCCACACTCCACCATGCAAACTTGTAGGCGTGGGTTTGGAAGAACTCCAGCTGACCCCAAATGCTAAAAGGTAACCTGAGCCTTGCAAGGGGCTCTGGCACCAGAATTACCTAAGAGGAGGGAATCATTATGAATGCAGGTTCCTGGACCAGCCATGAAGGTTGTATCTTGAGCTCTGTCATCACAGTAAGAAAGATAGGCAATCTCCAGTTCTAAATATAGCCACAGAAAACCCACTGAAGGGACAGCTTCCATTTCAATTCAGTGACAATGTATTTGGGAGATTTTTTTTTTCTTTTTCCAATCCATGACCTGAGGTTGTAATATATCCAAAATATCACCACCAATAGACTAAGTAGTAGTGAGAAGTGAGGCTCTGGGTAATCATGTGTTTAGCATTTTTCTACACTTTTGTAAGGCAGAGAGATTTAAGGAAAGTAGATGGTTAGTCCGATTCATGTTAGACATAGTGTTGAAAGAAAGAAATGATCTTAGTGCTTCTAATTCACAGCTCAAGCTTCTCATAAATGACTTTAAAGTTTTCAGTTGGGTCTTGAAAGGAAGCTTTGTGTGTTGGAGCAACAGAGTTGACATTGTTCAAAACCAAACTCAAAATCTTATTGTAAGAGTAGCTGAATTACAATACCAACTAAATTGCCAACCCAAAATGGTGTCTAAGGTTAAAGTGAAGGTATTGACTAGGAAGAAATGAGACCCTGAGGATTGAGATGGGGACTATGGAGAGACAATCAGGAAATTAGGGACATTGAGCCTCTAAGTCCTGTTGAACCAGTCCTTCTACTTCCATCTGATGAGATGTCTGATTTCCCAGTGTCACAACCTGGGGCATTGCCTGAAGTAGATACCTTAAAAGACATTATTGAATCGTCCCAAGAGCCATCTCCACCACCTATTTTGCTTCTAGATCCATAACTAGCATTAAACCCCTGTGCATCCCAAGAGGTAGAGTGCAAATTGTGACCCAGGAAGAGATACTCTCCACTCCAAAAGAACTCCATTTTCTAGTACTATCTTTTCAATTATTTGCTATGCATCTAAGAGTTGGACAATGAACAAGGATGAGAGGAAAAAAATTGAGGCTTTTGAGCTGTGGTGTCAGAGAAGAGTACTAAATATCCCATGAACTGCCAAAAGAATAAACATATGTCTTGGGAAAAATGCAGCCAGAATGTTCCTTGGAGGCTTCATCTCAAATACTCTGGGCATGTTGCTAGAAGAGGCTATTCCTTGGAGAGGGACATCATGCTTGGAAAGGTAGAGGGCCAGTGAAAGAGAGGAAGAGCTTCAATGAAATAAATTGACACAGTTGACTGCAGCAATAGGCTCAAGTGTGTCAAAGATGATGAGGATGTCACAGGATAGGTTTAGATCTGTTGTTCATAAGATCACTATGAATCACACTCAACAACACCTAACAACAACAAACAGAAACCTGAATAATATGTGTGGGAATGGCTATTAAGGGTGTGGAATAATGGTACAAGGACATAACATTAAATCAATCTGAATTTACTGATTTGATACTATTAAATATAGATTCTTCATTCAATGTTTCAGCTTGAGAGGTTAAGAAAGGATCACATATGTTGTGGCCAACATTAAGTCAAGTTCAGGTATCAGATCTTTCTTGGCACCTTGTAGAGGAAAGTATCCAAAGGCTTAGGGAAATAGGCATGTTAGAGTCAATCTACAAGGTTAGACCCATAGATCCGCAGATGGAATGCCCAGAGAACACACCACTTAAAACAATGGTGAGGAACAAACTTGTAACAGGAGCTCCAGCATCCTTGAAAACAACCATGATTGTCATTTTAGGTAAGCCAGATTTGACATTGAGTGTCTTAACCTAATTAAGACATCTACCTGCAATGAGGTCGATTGGATCCCATACTGTTAGGTGCCAAGTGACTGTACTGAATTAATCAAGGTAAGGTGAACAAGATTACCATGATAGAAAGTAGAGTCAAAGCAGTATTCAAAACAGTAGTGTGACTCATATGAATTTATGGTGTTGGCTACTTAGTCATGGATGGAATGGCATTGAAGAGAAAACTACTAAACACTTGTTTGCTCCAATGGTGATACAGGACAGGGCAAGGTTCAGATCTGTTATTCATAGGGTCTCTATGAATAATAGCCGAATAACAATCTGGTGGCATAGTCAATAGGAAGTTGTGATGCTAACCTAAAGGCTGCTGGTATAAATCGACCATGGCTCTGAGGGGGAAAGATGGATGATCTCCTGTGGGATTTATGGCCTCTGGAAACTCAGCTATGAGCTGGCTCCAACTCAGTGATGATGAGTGAGTGAGTGATTTAAGAGAAAGAATTGAAGGCCAGATGGATAGCAGTCTAACTTGACCTACCTGAACAGAATCACAGTTATTCAATCAATTTTCAGACTACAGCCAATTCTCAGTTCACAGACTCACAACCCCTTGAAGGTAGGGGAAACTGAATCCTTTT